TATTTCCCTGTCACTTAATAAAAATGAACAATTCTTTATCCACCTCTTACAAAATAATTTTGTCATACTAATAAATTAATAAATTTAATTCTTTACCTTTTACTAGCAATAAATTTAATTCTTTATATTCTTTATGATTATTTAATAAGTATAAAATTTAATTCTTTATCATTTCTTACAAAAAATCAATTCTTTAAAGAAAAAGTATTTTAATTTAATAACGTCGCACAATTTTTATTGGACAACCACCACGTGAAAGTCACGGGGTGCACTTAGAGAGGGAGTTTTATATAGATGGGGAGTGCACTTATCTCTAATTCCCAAGCTTGGGAATGAATGAAAGCATGCACTTAGAGGGGGTTGACTGTATATGATTTGACAATTCAAGGTTCAGGTGATGATGATACTTCAAAAAAAAAACAAATAAAAAAAGAAAAAATTGTGAATTAAGTGTAAACCATGTCAAAATGTCAAATAAAAAAATGCATTTTAAAAGATCAGGAGGAAGTTTTCAGCATAAATGGTTAAACATATATAAATGGTTAAAATATGATGCAGCAACAATGAGAATGTTTTGCACAATTTGTAAAGCACATGGAAAAAAAATCAATTTGCAGGAAAAGGTGGCAAATAAATATAATTAATTAATTTTGCATTTTGCAATTATTAATTTACTAATGTTAATGATGTTAATATTTAGGATCAAAGAATGTTTCAAATCTACTGCTCTAGCAACTCATGCACTTTCAAACCAACATAAAGATGCTTTGCTTTTAGAAAAAAAAGGCAAGAATAACCATGCAAGAGTCTTCCAAAAAAACCATTAGTAATGGTAACAAACATATAATTAATATAATGAAAATGATTTACTGGATGGCAAAAGAAGATATTCCAATTTCTAAATTTCCAAGTCTTGTTAATCTTGGTCATGCTCTTCAAGTTCCTGATCTATTTTCTTTAAACAATACTATTACATATGAAAATAACAAATCTGGATGAGAGTTATTAAAATCAATATCTGAATCTATTGAACTAGTTATTTGGAATGAATTGAAAAATTGTAAAGCATTTGGAGTTATGGTTGATGAAAGTACTGATATTTCCACAAATTCACATTTTATTATATATGTTAAGTATTGCTATAAGGGGATTATTAAAGTATGCTATCTTAAGCTTTTGCAAGTGGAAGAATCAAATGCTATAACACTCTATAATGTTATAATCAATCTTTTTGATAAAAATGGTTAGTTGTTTAACATTTATAATTCAATTCTATTATAATATTTTTTGTAAATTAAAAGAATAATGTTTATATTTAGATATTGTTAAAAAATTTGTTCATTTGCTTAAGATGGAGCAAGTGTAATGATGGGAAAAAATACAGGTGTAGCTACAAGAATTGCACAAATCAATCCTTTTCTTTATATTACACATTGCATTGCTCATATATTATCATTGGCATGTGGGGATGCTCAAGAACAAGTTGAATTCTGTAAAAGTGTTAAAATCTGCCATGAAGAAGGTTTATTTATTTTTAGCAAATCAAGTAAATGTTGTGATTTATTGAAACATTATCAAAATTTTTTAGATCATCTTCTATTAAAAGTTAAACAGATCTATGATATTTGTTGGTTGTTCTGATATAATGCTGTCAAAAGTATTTGCTTATCTGTTGAACCATTGCTTGATACAATTTTTGAAACTTATTCAAATGCAACACCTAAAAAAAAACCAGCAAACAGAATATTATCAAAACAGATTTATGTAAAGCAATGAAAAATGACACATTGCACTTATTAATGATGGTTGGTTAGAAGGCACTGATTTATTTAGTTATGATTTTAGTGATGCTCTCAGTAAATTTTTTCAAAGTAAAAACAGAATAATAAAATAATTTTAGCACCCAAAAAATTTTCTTCCGGAAAATTTTTAGCATTCAGGAGAAACTTCCGTTTTTCTTCAGACCCTATTACTATTTCCAGCCCTGATCATGAATTCATGATTATCACCACTAAAAATAATCACGTTCAAAATCATTTATCTATTTTAAGAATTGACATGAATTAACGCGTTTCTTTTGTTTTTTTTTGTAAACTTAAATTAATCGTATTAATAATTTTCTTTATATATCAAAAATTAAAAATGCCAAAAGAAATTCAGAAATCAAAAAAACCTATCGCTGCTCCATATCCTGCTGTTCCTTTAAAAGAAACAAATAAAAATATTCAAGCGCCTTTAAAACTAAACTTGAGTAGAATAGCACCTTCTGGCGACGTTCAGTTATCTGATGAACAGAATCAAATCCTTAACTTAGCTGTTAACAGTCATAATAGTATTTTTTATACCGGTTCTGCAGGTAAAAAAGCAAATAAAAAACTTCATTTGATTTTACTTGGATATTTAATAATTCATATTACATTAATAGCATTAATAGTTAATGATATTAATATTATTTTTAAATAAAAGGAACCGGAAAAAGTGTTTTACTTCGTGTTATAATCGATACTCTTAAAGACACTCATGGAGCTGATTGTGTAGCAGTCACTGCTACAACGGGGATTGCAGCCTTAAACATTAGTGGTATGACAATTCATTCCTTTTTTGGTATTGGTACCGGACAAGCAACCGAAACGGAATTGCACAGAAAAATCATCAAGTTTAAAAGTTTAGTTGATAGATGGAGAAGAATAAAAGTTCTTGTTGTTGACGAAGGTAAAATAAAATTAATTTGTTTATTAATTTATTTAAAATAAAGCTCAACATTTTCACGCTCTTCAAATTAGTGTCTATGCTTGACGGTGATTTATTCGACAAATTGGAAGCTCTTGCACGTAGTGTTAGAGGTAATCCTTTTCCTTTTGGTGGAATTCAGGTAACTAATTGATATCCATTCATCCTTTAATCACTTATTCAATTTTTTGAAACAATGTCCATAAAAAAATTTTTCTTCTCTACATATCATAAATAGCTCGTTGTTACTGGTGACTTTTATCAATTACCACCAATCAGTCATAATAATGCTGCTAAGTTTTGCTTTGATGCTAAAACTTGGAATAAATGTATAAAACACACAATTCAACTAAAACGCGTTTTTCGACAAAAAGAACCTGGTGAGAAAATCTTTATTCGTTATAAACAAGTCGTATACTATTATTATTTATTATTAATTTTTTTGTTCAAACAGAATTGGTTGAAATGTTAAATGAGATGCGTTGTGGAATTTTATCTGTAAAATCACTCGATCTGTTGAATCGCTTAAAACAGGTACCAAATTATCCTGAAGATGGAATCATACCAACTGAACTGTAAGCAAAAACATCCTGATTTGTTGGCAATCGCATTATCATCATCTTTTTAAATCCCAATGCACATATTTTATACCTATAGTTATCCGCGTAATGATAATGTCAATGCTTCTAATGAAGCGAAACTGAAAGAAATTCCTTTTAAATCTTACGTTTGGGAAGCTGAAGATTGGGAACCAGCTGGAGGCCAACTAAAGACTTTGATAAGAAATTGCCTTGCACCAAAACAATTGTTTTTAAAACGTAATGCTCAGGTGATGCTTATAAAAAACTTTTCAAAAGACTTGGTAAATGGAAAAAGAGGTATAGTCGTTGGATTTATTAATACTTTAACAGGTGATGCTTATCTTAATGGTGAAGAAGAGAATTTAAAATTAAACACAAAAGACATGCTTCCAATTGTACGATTTACTGATGGTATTCAACAAGTTATTGATTTTGCCGAATGGAAAATTGAAGGCAGCGGTGATGCAGTTTTAGCGAGTCGAAAACAGGTTAATTATTATTATAATGTTAATATAAAACTTTCATATGCACGCTAATATATATATGATTAGATACCATTGTTGCTTGCTTGGGCTATAAGTATTCATAAAAGTCAAGGACAGACTTTAGACCGTGTTAAGGTTGATCTTGGCCGTGTATTTGAAAAAGGTTGGTTAATAAATTTAAAAAAAATAATTATTATTATATTTGTTTTAATTACTTTTTTAAATAGGTCAAACATATGTAGCGCTTTCACGTGCAACTTCAGCAAATTCCTTACAAGTGTCAAATTTCCATCAATCCAAGGTGATGGTTCATCCAAGGGTTAAGGCTTTTTATGATGGCTTAACTGACGCTGCTAATATTAAATGAAAGATTTAGATTTTGAGATTGTTCAAAATTTAACAAATTATTGTTATTAATAATTTTCTTAACATTAAATATAATAAATAAATAGTATAAATTTTATTGCGATTTTTTAAAATGTCTGGCCACGTGGCAATAAATAATATTATGTTATGATATACAATTTAAAGGCAATGGAAGAAAATAATAATTCATATGAGAAAAATGAAAATCCAAATGGCTCAAATACAAGAATAATTCCAACTACTTTTCTAGATCTACTTAATAATACTCTTGATGATGCTGATTTAGTTCATTTGTTAGCTGAAGCTTCCATAAAAGTAACCCCTGAATTTACTGCTGCAACTTTGTCTGATGAGGACGAAGAAGAGGATACAATATTTATACATGATGATACTTTTGGCAACGATAACGATGATTTATCAGATGATGAGACAAATCAACTTGCCGATGAAAATTTTGGGTAAATTAATTAATTAATTAAATGGTATAATGATAGTGGTTTATGTCTATCGTATAATAATAATTATTAATAATAGACGATTATTATCTCAAGCACAAGCAATTGGAAGTGACCTTACTACTGGAACTGTAGCTCCACATTTATGGCAAAATTTGGAACAAGAATGGAGTGAATTTAATCAAGATTTAAGACTTACCAGTGGAATTGGTAAAATTAAAAAGGGAAAGGTGAATTTATGATCCATGGATTTAATCATCAATATTAATTGTTATTTTAAGAAAACAATAATTAACTAATTAATTAAATAGCGAGGTCCTCGAAATCATGCACTCCCACCAACTTTACGTGCTAAAGTAGGAGAAGCTAACCTGCATTATGTCAATAGAGACTATCCAAAAGCTATTGAGGTGCTTCAAGAGGTAATAAAAATTGATCCAAACATTCATTCTGCTTGGTTTACACTTGGAACAATACAAGATGAAATTGGATGTCCGGAAAAGGCCTTACAATTGTATTTGGTTGCTGCCCATTTAACACCTCATGATGGTGCATTATGGAAAAGATTAGGTTCACTAAGCAAGTTAGTTTTTTTTCTTTTTGTTATTATTATTTTAAAACAAATATTTTATCTTTTGTTTTAACATTCTATATACGTGTGTGCATGTTTATTATACAAGAGATCACAGTGCTGTACATCAAGCTATTTATTGTTTCTCTAAAGCCATAAGATGTGATCCTAATGATGTGGATGCTATTTGGGATAGGTCTATGCTCTATGCTGAAATTGGAGAATACAAAAAGGCATAGAATTGATTTTCAATCAGTGTTTTCAGTTGTTTTTTTTTCTCCCTGCATAAGTATTAATGATGACACTATTGATAATATTACTATTTAAATTTAGGCAATTGATGGTTTTACTGGATTATTAGAAAAAGTGCCACATGATATGAATATATTAAGAGAAATATCAAAAATACATGTACAAACAAGCGAAGTTCCTAAAGCCATTGAGCTTTATCTTGATGCATATTCATATTATCGAAATCGTCCTTTTTACGAAGATGCTGAAGCAGAAGGCAGTTTTGGATATTCAGAAATTAATATTATGGCAGAACTTTATATGCTCATAAATGATTTTGGTGGTGCAATAGAGTTCATCAAATGTGGAGTCAGATGGCTTCAAGGAAGAGAGGATGAGACATGGTGGAACAATGTCAGCGATGATCGAGAGTATGATGAAGACGAAAATGCTAATCGGAAAGATAATTCTTTTATTTTAGCTGGTGCTAGACGTCAAGGAGTTTTTAGTAGTGGTGGTTCAAATGCACCATTACCATTGGAATTAAGAATAAAATTAGGCATAAGTAGAATCTGTATGGATGAATTAGAAGAAGGAAAAGTATGTATTGATGATGATGATGATATTTGTTTTTCTCATTTATTTATATTCTATAATTATTAATTAATCTATAATTTTTTGTTGATTAGTTGCATTTAAATTATCTCAAGTTATATGATGTTAAACAATACATTGATTTATATTATGAGGTGGCTGAAACTTATGCTGAAAAAGGGTTATTTGAAGATGCATTGACAACATACGAAGCTATATTGCTTAATTCAGAGGTAATTGATTGTTCATCAATGCCATGACATATTTATCTATACATTTTTATTTGTAAGTTGTTACATTTTTTTAAAAATAATAATAATAATAATAGACAAATAATCCAACTGCGTGGATGAGAGTGGGACTATGTCACAGAGAATTAGGGAATTTTGAAAATGCTGCAGAATATTTTACTGCTGGTAAAAAATCAAATAATATTCAATTATAGGGGTTTTTTTTGAGTAAGTGTTAATATATTTCTTTCAACATATAATTATTATAGTTGTTGAAGATTCACCAGATAATTTAGATGCTAAAATGTCACTTGCAGAGACTTATGAATTTTTAGGAGAAAATGAAAAGGCATTAGAATTGGTAAATACAGGTAAATTTAATCATTAAATTAATTAATTGCTTAATTTTATATAAAGGCATTTAAAAAGAAAAACATTTACTTGGTAATTACTAGTCCTTGAAGCCCGTAAATTTCAACGACAAGTAGCTGAATCCATGCCAGTAAGGGATCCCGTTGTAATATCATTATCGTCTTCTTCAAATAGCATGACTTTACAAGAAAATCAACAATACTCATCAACAACCATGAATCAAAATTCTGGGGAGCTTATACACTCTATATCGAGAGAGACAAAAGCCAATGACCTTGCAAGATTAGAAGAAGAAAGGAAAAAACAAGAGTTAGAAAAGGAAAAAGAAACACAAATTCTTTTTCATAGATTAGATTTATTGTATCCATGTTCAGTTAATGGTGATAAAGAAGCATCTAAAGAATATCTTGAAACAGCAAGAGGTTTAATTGAAGATTGGCAAAATAATAGAGCATTTTATCCTCCAAGAAACAAGGTTAAATAATTTTTTCGTAAATAAATTACAAAAAAAAAATTAGCATCACCTTTTAGGAATATTCTTATAATGAATATATATTTGACTAGATGGTTCCATTTAGAGGATATGATCGACGTAAAAGTTGGAGGAAAAAACTTTATTATGAAGAAATTAAAGAATTAAAAGAAGGATATGATGCAGATATAGAAGAACAGGCAACCACAATGGCAAAGAGGCTGCAGTGGAATATAGGTTTGATTTATTACACTTATATATATGCATATATATATGTTAGTATAAAGAGTGAATGAGCAGCGTACATTAATTTATATTTTTTAAAAAAGATGGACAGTTAGGTGAACTTGAAGCTGAAATACATAAGAAAATGACAGAATTTCAAGGAATAACGTTTGAAAAATGGTTTGAATTTTTTATTCAGGTAAATTAATTAATTTTATAATGTAAAAAAATTAGATGAAAAGAATTTTACATGTATTAATGATCATTTTAGTTTATAATTACAGCAACAAAAAATGGGCATGAGTCAGAAGCATATGATGTTGTTATGTTAGTATCAAAGGCAAATATTTTTTACCATAATGAACGACACAAGACTACATTCAAGGTGTTGTCACTAGGTAGAGAAAGAATCAATAAACAAAATTTCTTTTTTTAAATTGCAAATTTCAATTTTTAGAACAGATATAACTAATTAACGGGAAATTTATGAATATGCATTATTATTAGCTTGGGGACTTTATACATCAAATTATATAGTGGTTTGTGAAAGTGCAAGATGGTTATGTAACTTTAAGCCATTCAATAGCAACATATATAATTTATATAGCGCATGTTTGGCAAGGTAAAAAAAATTTGAATTAAATATGATATATTAGATAGTAATAAAATATCAATAATAACATTTATTTTAAAATACATACATATAATAGTGGGTCGGGTGCATTATCATGTTTTTCAGCGGCAAATTCACAAAAATATTTTTTAAGACAAATAAAAGCAATGGATTCAGGCATTTCTGACAGTTCTCCAACGAAACCTGATGCTGGTTTGTTGACACTTTATGGACATATTTTGGGATGTTCAAGAAGTTATAATGGTGCTCTTGGTAAGTATAATAAAAATAAATAGAAGATATAGAACGTAATAGAATTTATTAATATATTAAATTAAAATTTTATTATAAGGGTATTATGCTCGAGCAGCACTTGTCAAACCAAAAGATCCTCTTGTGTGTTTTTCTATGGGTCTTGCATATTTACATCGTGCTATGCAAAGAAAAACAAGTAATCGACATTTACAAATTTTACAAGTAAAAAACTAGTTACTTGAATCAATGAATTTTTTTTTAGTTAAAAGCTCTATTCATTTTTTTTATTCCATAAACTTGAATAGGGATTCAATTTTTTATATGAATATTATGAATTAAAAGGCAAAAATCAAGAAGCTGAATATAATTTAGGGCATGCATTTCATCAATTAGGTAATGGTTTTTTTATCTTAATAATAATAAATAAACAATCAAATAATTAATTGACTATTGTAAATTTATTTTGACTTAAAGGATTAACGCATTTAGCTATACCGCATTATGAAAAAGCACTTAAATTACCATCAGTAAATCAAATTTTGAAACAAAAAATTGATAAAGTTTGGATATTTTTATACGTTTATGTGTTTACATGTAATATTGATTACTATGAAACTCACTGATTATATTTGATATATATATATATATAGGGCAAGAAAAAACAATTAGAAACTGACGAAAATGATGAAGTTGAAAATTTCGAAGAAAATGATCCTACAGATATTAGAAAAGAAGCTGCCTATAATTTATATTTAATTTATATGGAAACAGGATCTCCAGCTTTAGCTCAAATGTTATTAAAAAAATATTGTGCAATATGAAATTTTATTTATTTGGAATTACTGATAGCATTGCTTGATAGTTTATAATTCAAAAATTACATAAAGAACAAACCAAACCCCTAAAAGGCTGATTAGGAACCAAGATAAAAATACAAACAGAATTAAAGACATTAAATTTTTTTATTTTTGGCACATAAAAATGAGTCAAGTTTCATAGAGTGACTAATAAGATACCCGATTTCTGTTAATGAAATCTGAAGGATGGTTCTGTCCCGATATTGTAAAACACCATTAAGTCTTGTTGCACCCCATGATTGTAAATCAGACTTACATGGCATCCTTTTCATCAGTATAATAATTATATGAATGGAATTAAACTTAGGTGAACCAATGGAATGGTTTTAGGTAATGATTTAAAAGATATGATTGTGATGTAACTTGTGAAAATTTTGGTCAATTGGCTCCAATGAAAAATAATTATGGCCTAGATTATCATCATCAATAATCAAAATGGGAAAAGACAACTTAAAAAGCAAACAATAAATGAATATTTGTAATATTTTACTTCATCAATAACAAGTTAATAAAAAATTGATTGCCTTTACCAATGAATTTTTCCACACATTGTTGATCATAAACATAGAAAATACTATTATTGTAGAAAAATTATATCAATTTTTGAAAACCTAAGTTACAAATTAATTTGATATAATGATTATTACATTAAGGTAAATAACTTGATTTGTAAAATGATACCTACAAGAGCAAAGAAAGATATGACTCTAAATTAGCACAAAAGAATTTAAATTGCATACAAACTTATCCCCTTCAATAAGATTACAAAAGTGTATCAATGTATTCAAATAATTGCTTGATTGGCCTTGAACATGTAATGGTGTGATTGGTCCAATCTTGGATTCCATACTCTTGCAATTTTCTACTTGTATTTTTTCAATCTAATTATATAATTATGTATCTTGGTTAAAATAAAAAATAAATAAATAAACATGATATTGCTATTTAATACTTTCCTCATGTGTGAACTCCTTTGTACCCACATTCATCACCATGTTTGATATCATCATTGACATAACAAACAATTGCATCACCCAGGTAGTAATTAAGGTTTCTGGTTGAAACTGCTTCTATTAGTAGCCGAAATTGCCCAAATACTTTGGGCAAAAATTATTTTTTTA